GAGGAGGAAAAGTAGGAGGAGGATGATGGAAGTGGTGGGTCAGAAGAATTGTCAGGGTTAGTTGGCGGCGGAGAGGAGGAGGAAGAGGCAGGCGGGGGACGATGGTTGGTGCCGTTCGAGAGGCGCAGTTAATCTGAAGATGTCCAACAAGTCCGATTTGAGCCCGGAATGTCCGTTGACATCGAGGACACGTTGGAAGCGGTTGTGCGGCGGCGTTGCTTACTGGGCGAAGTTGTGATTTGCGGGCTTCACGTTTCGCTTTGGCGGCAGCGATGCGGTTGGCTTCGTAGATCGCAGCGCCTGTCTTCACTGTCCTCCTCCAGGTCGGTCGATCAAGTGCGAGCTCCTCCCAGTTGGTGGGGTTGATTTGCAGGCATTTCAGGGAGGACTTCAGGGTATCCTTGTAACGGCGAATCTGGCCTCCTTGACGGCGAGAACCCGTCGCGACGTCTCCGTAGAAGAGTCGTTTGGGTAGTCGCTCGTCGTCCATGCGCACCAGGTGGCCGCTCCAGCGCAGCTGCATTTGCCTCAGTATGGCGTAGATGCTGAGGATTCCCGTCCGTTCCAGCACATCAGTGTCGGGGATTCGATCCTGCCACTTCAGCCTCAGGATGCGACGAAGACAACTGAGGTGGAAGTGGTTCAGACGGCGTGCCTGCTATAGGCAGTGCCTGATATAGGCCGTATGTTATTATTGTCGGCAATAACATACTGCCTATATCATGAGCCGCTGTGCGGCTGCTGGTTGGGCTTGAGAGAGAACCCGTAAGGCACAACGGACCGAGTGCGTTCCGTAAGACCGATCGGTGAGCGCCCTCTTCCATTGATTGCTGAGAGTCGGAAAATAACACGCCGGGGACAGAGGACGGGCGTGGTTGCTCACGAAGGCTCTGGTGGACAATGGCCACGTAGTAGATCCAACGGTAGCTTTCAGGGTCATATTTCATGCAACGACCGGGCGTCTCCTAATTTTTGGGGATTAATACAGTGCGAAGAAACGTAGAACGGCTCAAGCAGTTGGATCATGTGATCCACCTTGCGTTGTCATGGTAGGAGGTACTGGCGTAAATAATTCCCGTCCACTTTCCCCCTCACACCCAACTCTGACTGACTTGAGTTCCGTCCGTGTGTACACTCAATCACGCCTGACGTGTTTTCGTTGCAACCAAATCTCGCGCACCTGTATCCTCCCCCCTCAAGTCTGGCTAACGTTGGCTGCCGTAAATAGACCAATCGCATTTGAGTTCCTTAGGCCGTTCGCTTATTGGATTGCTGGCTTTATGAATGTGCCGTGGTCACTGACAGTAGAATTAAAGGCCGTACAATTTATGGCGTCATTAAGTTCTGCATTCTTTGTCACTTTCGCTTTGGGCAAATGCGATTCCTCGCGGTGAATTCTCTTTCGACTCTTTGTCGGCTAACACAAAGCTCTATTCTATAAGTATCTCGTAGTTTAAATCGACGCCATGCAGTTAATTTGTGTCTTCCCATTGTAGGCCATTTTTGCAGTTTTGCACGAACACATGAACGTGCACAAATGCCGTAGTTATTAAAACACCATTTTACAAAGTTTCCTGAAAAAGGGAAGGGGGCGGGGCAGCCTGGAAGGGTCGCAGGATTTAGACCGAACGCCAGTTTTCCTCTTAGTCATTAATTCCACATACAACTTTCTGCGCCCTTCCGATCTTGCCTAGCCTGTGGTTTTTTAAAACTAACTTTTATCGATTTTTTCAATCACTGTCCGTCGTTTCCATATAACTGTACCGGCCAACTGTCCTTCCTAGATGTAATAGTAGACACCGTCTCTAATGCACGGATGAGGTGAGTTTGTCAGGTTGGTTAGATACGGCCCGGTGCGTGCATTTCTTGGTCTATCGAAGCTCCGACATTTCTTAAAATGCCGCTTGGATCTCCTCTAGGACAGTCCTGCCATGCAGGGCATCGCGTTTTGATTTCACTGTCAGCACTTTAGTGTGTTGTAAAATGTTGATTCATGCATTTTAATCGGCGAATAATGGGGCGGAGGTGGATGGATGGAATCACTGGTAAAATTCGAAGGTACTCTGGTTACTTTAAATTGCATTCTTCTTTTTATTCTTCCTCTTCCTGTTCTACCAGCCAGTTTTTTAGGACTCCTCATGTTTGCTCACCAAGCAAAGCCGATAATCTCGACCGGCGTACAGGCACATGGCAAGCGCATGACAACGGCATATTAGAGCACCTGGTCAGTCGAACCGGAATGCACTCGGAGGCTGCCAGCTGTGATAGGGATGTAGCGGCCTAGCATCTACAGCCTATAAACACTGCAACAC